GTGGGTTCATCGGAATAAAGTTTCGTGAGAGAAAGTAGAATGCGCCTATGAAGGAGAAGAGCATAAAAATAATCGGTTAAAACAAACAAAAATGATACATAAAGTAATTAATTAATATGCATTTGTATCAAATGAAAGAAAGATTACATCTGATGCTATCGTTAAACTTCGTTCGAGAAAAGTTTAAAAGAAGAGGATATCGCGCGCTAAGATAAAGGGAATGAATTTTCAATCTCCCGCTCAAATTTTTATTGAATTCACTAACTTTTTGACGTCGAATTTAAAAGACATTCAACGTTTTATATCCTTTTACGTCAAATTACAATTCTAAACTACGTTTAATAATTGCATAAAAAATGTGTCACCGCTCATTTTTAACGTTGGCTATTCAGTGGTTCGACCTTAAACGCGTGACGTTATACACTTTTTTTTGTACTAGTGAGTGTAAAGTAAATCAATATTTATGAATTAGATTGAATTAAATTATTGTTGAAACTTTAAATGTTAATGAAATGCACAGTAGAAACAATTGATATGCATGTATATGAATTATTGAAATTTGAAAAAATGATAAACAATTTTCTTTAGCTTATAAATATCTTTCTTTTAAGTTATATATATGGGACTTATTTTAAAATGATACTTTTAATTATAAACAATTTTTTAAAGTAATTTCTAGGTTTAATCCTTTAGTACATCCCTATTTATGTACGAATGTCTCAATTGGATCCTCGTTTTTTAAAGTGTATCAAAATGGTCCTTAATTTTGAAAATTCATATCAATTGAGTCCTTTCCGTTAAGTTGGCTGGACGGCGTTAAAAAAATTCATGAGTGGATGCTGAGATGACGAACGAACGCTCGTCCACCAGCGAACGAACGCTCGTCCACCAGAGAATTAACGCTCGTCCACCAGAAAACGAACGCTCGTCGACCTCTTACTGCTGGACGACCGTTCGTTCCACACTGGACGACCGTTCGTTCGGTGGTCGACGAGCGTTCGTTCGCTGATGGACGAGCGTCCGTTCGTCATCTCAGCATCCACTCATCAATTTTTTTAACGCCGTCCACCCAACTTAATGGAAAGGACTCAATTGATATCAATTTTCAAAATTAAGGACCATTTTGATACACTTTAAAAAACGAGGACCCAATTGAGACATTCGTACATAAATAGGGATGTACTAAAAGATTAAACCTAATTTCTATTGAGGAAATGTTCTTAGTATTAGGACGGCACCCTGTAGCCATACATGTAGTTAAAATTCGCATGAGATGAATAAGCATATGGAATTGTCGAAGTTTGAATTGGTCAAAGTCAAAAAATCTGACACCTATGTTAATAGGATTCAAGTTTCAAATGCTCGATAAAAGCTACAAATACGTTGACAAACTTAGATAATATGAACAACTAAACCATTCTTTTTTTCTAAATTATTATCTGCTCTCTTATCACGTTAACGTTAGATCTAATCAATAGTTTTTAAATATATGGAATCTATGATGCACGGATTATATTTATATTAGATACAATACATATTTAATATGTTGATGTATTTACTTTTAGAAAATAGAGTACGATAGTGATATAATTTTTAAAAGTATGATAAATAGTTCTTTTTTAAGTTTGAATTAAAATTAAAATTATATGTATAAAAATTATTAATATAAAAAACTATAGGTTATTGTTATCATAAAAGTGTTATTTACTATATATTACATATTTCATTAATAAGTATGGTAAAGTATTATAAAAATTCTAATACAAATGCATATTACACATGAATATTTGATTTAACTTAAAGTATTGGTGGATCATAATAGGTCAGAACAATAACATTAGTTTTTTTTCAAATCTTTCATATTAAAAGTTTTAATAACATTAAAATATTTTTTAAATCATGAAAAAAAAAGTTATTCTAAGGAAAATATTCATTAGGATTTCGTCAATATTAGAAGGCCGTGTAACAATATCTTCAAATAAAAACATATCTGCTTAGCAAAAAATAAATTGTTCATAATTTTGAAATGATTTAATTAAAGAAATTATTGATTTGGATTTTATGAAAACTATTGTGATTTTTTAGTTATTATAATCTCCTGACAGTGATATACTTTTCATTAAATATACTTTGATAATTAAATAAAATTCATACTTAATTAATATATATATATATATATATATATATATATATATATTATAAATTTCATTTAATAGTATAAAATTATTAAACAAAATAGGTATGATAATCAATAAACAAATAAGACTAATATATAATTAGTACAAAGTCATTATATATAAGTATATATTGCATACAAATGATCATATAACTAAATTAACATAACTAGAATTTGTTAAAAAGAAAAAGATTATTATATATAAATTATTCATAACATACCAAATACAAAGACTTATATTAGACTCGATGATCCGAATACATGTATCGATATTATATTCTGACAAGTTATACATTCGTAGTGACCTTTATTATTTTGCAAAATCATTGCCAATAAGTTTTATCCTACCACATACAAGGTTAGTCTGTTAACATCTTTGATTAAGGTAAAACCCATAGATTATGACCTATTACTCCTCTCACCACATATTTCACCATTTTCTACTTGAGATTGGATAGTTATTAGAGTGACATGATAACTCTCAATACAAAATTCATATACATACATTATGATAACCACAAATAATCCTCCTTGGATTAGTACCAATCATTCTCATATGAACATCATAAAGCAACCATCATTTCAACATACCAAAAGCAAACATGAGAAAAATAAAGTTAGAATTTGTTAATCTCGCTTGAAACACACTTGCCTAATGACTAGATAGCTCGGCCAGAAAGATTATCACTGGAATCCACAAGCTTAAATTCTCCCAAAATCGTTTAGCGAGATTTGTCTCGCTCAACTAGTATTAAGTTAGTGAGCTCTCTAACTTTTTGCGTCCAATGATATTATTCTCACCCATCTACCACCAAGTCACTAGCTCTTTGACTTTGACATCGCTCAACGAGTATATTCTCGTCTCATGAATGTCAAGTCAGTGAGCTCTCTAACTTTGGTTGCATCTAGTGAGATTATTCTAGCCTAGCGACTACCAATTTAGTAGTTCTCTGAGTTTAACTTTGTCCAACTAGTATATTCTCTTCCAGTGAGTTTACATAATTCTGCATAACACAATTTTGCAAACTTATGCCATTCCAAATATGCAAAATCAGTGCAACAACCACAAATGCTAAAACTTACCAATTATAAGATTGTACACTACTAAATGACCCAATTAATCTCAATTACAATACCAACTATACAACATACCAAATCTCAAAATACAAATAATGTAAGCCAAATTAAATCCTAACTTAACTCCACACATCATATTTCATCATATAACTCAATCACACAAACAAACCAAAAATTGTATGAGCATGCAACTAGAAATTACAAGTTATCTATAAGTTAAAAATAGTGCGATTAACTTTCCTTACCTGAAAGACAAACCAACTGCTCAAGAATTGTAAAAACACCTCCAAACACACAAGTTTTATCTACCTTTATGAACAACAAAAACACAATCATAACACACCATTAAGACCATTGATCAACAAAGGACAGAAAACCAACTTATTCTCTTAGAGAAACTAATCAAATAAAAGTGGAGAGCTCGTCTCAAAGATCATCCTAACGGTCTCCGATATTCAAATAGATGAACGGGTCATGAGAAAACCTAGAGAGAAAAGAAAGAGTTCTAAGATAAGGTTTTTAGAAAAATTATGTGTTTTTAAATAATAAAACTTGTTTATAAAAACTCTATTTATACTTCAAACTTTTAATATTAAAATAAACGAATCTCACATTTTAAACATAGTATCAATTATAAAACACAATTTTCTAGATTCTTTTATATATATATATATATATATATATATATATATATACTCATCACTTAAAAATATCAATAAACTATACAATTAAAATATTTCTTTATAGAGAAAAAACCTAAAATAGTAAAAGAAATTGTTGAGAAGTAAAATAATCTATAAATTATTGATAATGAAAAGCTTATTTAAATAAAATATACGAATACATTTAATAGTCATACTTAACTATTAACATATCACTTTAACATCATCCATAACTTAAGAAATATTAATAAGTTGAAGGAAAAAAAATAAAATAAAAATTGAGAACAAAAACATAATAACATTTGTATCAAAGTAAGTTCAACAAATTTATAAGAGAAAAAAAATACATTTAACGCAATTCAATGTTCCAACATAGAAGTGAAAGGCTCTCTCCATATATATATATATATATATATATATATATATATATATATATTTGTGTGAAAAATTGGATTAGAGTAACCCAATTATACCATGCACATGATAACCAAAATAAAATAAAATATTTAGAGTTAATTTGGCTTATTTCTGTCTCAATAATTGATTTAAATTGAAAATTAAGTGATTATAGAAAATACTAACCGTGCATAACAAAATATTTTCTAACGTAAATTTTGTGAACCAATATATTAATAAGAATAAAACCATTTTATGCAGACAAATAAGTTACTGTAATATCATCACATGTTACGACTTCTACTGGCGGCTTCTAAGAATTCAATTCAATAAATAATCAAGTTGGTCGGTACATTAGTTCTCATTCACGTGGAACTATGATATTTGTATTACAGAAAGTATGTGTACGAAAGATGTTATAAAAAAAAAGAATTGTGTGTTTTATTCAGTATATATTTACTTTACTTCAAAATAATTGCTATTTTAGGAATTATAGTTTAGTTTAAACATTTAATAATTTAGATATTAACGAAGAGAAAAGTGTAATTTAGTGTGATTAATAAAAATATTAGGAAATTGATTAGTGAGAGGGTTGTTGGTCGCCGTTTGAGTAATAGGGTGAAAAAAAAAGGAGCATAGTGGTGCGTAGGTAATTTTGATGTTTAGTATAAAAGGGGTGAGAAGACGGTGATAGAGAGTATAAGAGAACGTTATCAAAATAAAAACGAAATAGTAGTCGATATCCTTGAATGGAACAAGGGAAGCAAGGAATTATGGTGGCGTCTCAGAGTCAGAATCCCTTAGAGCAAATCCAAGCACGTTTCAAGGAATTGGAAAATGGCTTCAAACTCTGGCTCTCCAAGCAGTCGCTCCCCGTCGAGGCTGCCGTCGTCACCACCACCAGCGCCGCCCAGGGCGCCGCCATCGGCGCCTTCATGGGAACCCTCACCGCCGATGCTCCCTCTGCTTTCCCCACCCCTCCGCCCAACGCCGCTCTCAACCCTCAGGCCATGGCATCTCTTAAGCAAGCTCAGGTTTTGTTTTCTACTCTTCACTTCCTCTCTATTATTGTAATTATTATTACTACTACTACTACTACTATTATTATTATTATTATTATCATTATTATTATTATACCTATTAGGGTAATTTTAATTGATATTCTTCAGTGGAAAATATTTTAGGGTTATGATTATTCATTTACTTAATTCTACTTTTAGTGTAATTTTTTTGTTTTTTTTAATTATTATGTAGGCTCTAGCTGGAGGTCCTTTTATTCAGGCTCGGAACTTTGCTGTGATGACGGGAGTGAATGCTGGAATTTCCTGTGTCTTGAAAAGGTTGAGGGGCAAGGAAGATGTTCAGTCCAGGTGAGCTTTATGCCTCAAATGATACAATTTTTCCTTCTTAGTGATCTTTGTATCCTGGATCCGGCTTTGTAGGTGAAATTCTTTCCCGTTTTTTTGCTCTAAATTCAAGCTGCTACATTTTTCTGTAATATAATTTATCTGTGCAATTCATGGCTTGAAGTATTTAGCATATGGTCTTTGATTTATGAATTATTATACTAATGTAGATATTGATGAAGTACTGTTTAAATGGATAGTAATTCAAGGTCGAGCTGCTTCTCCATAAAATCTTACTTTGATCACACTGTTATTGTGCGTAATTTGTTGTTTTAAAGATAGAAGGAAATTGACACTTTAACAGTTCCGGCTATTCATGGAGGCTTGTACTCTTCATTTCTTTGGATTAGTGTCAAGTACTTAACTGGAATACGTTTGATATGGATATTCTCTTTCTATTCCTAAAGTGTTATGAAGTTTATATGTTGCTGTATTCATGAATTATTGGTTTTAGTTATACAAGAACAAAAAAACAATGGCAAGAATGTAACTATTCATCATGAAATCCATTTAAACAACTTCCTAATGATCGTCTTCTTTGTATCCCTTTCTCCTTTTTCACTATACTAAAAATCATGCAATATGCTGTCAACACTTGTGGTTTTAGTGGTCTTCTTTGTACATGTCTAAACCCTTTTTACTGACTTTGTATTCTTTTTCTTCAATTGGTTCCATATCAATATCTTTTCATATATAATCATTTGGCAACGTATAATAATTTTTGTGGTCACACATCTATTTTGTCATTCATATATTTCTGTTACTCCTAGTATTCTTATATTTCTGTTGCTTCCTCCTTTTTTGTCTTGTTGATCCTTTGAAGTCCAATATTCATTACCATAGGCACAGAATATATTTTTTGCAATCACAAATAACCTTGACGCCCTTTATTCATTTTAACCATCTCACTTGTATCCTATGTAGGACATCCTCAAGCAATTGTGTGCTTTCTTACTTTGAAGAGAAAACCCCTTATTTTCAAATATTTTCTCCAAAGTTGAAGTTTAGAGTTAATCAGTTTCCTTGATTTCTCTATTAAAAACTAAATCATCCACTAAAATATGTTTTTAGGGATAATATTTTCTTCTGAATGTCCTTGGTAAGTACAATCAAGGATAGATCAAACAAGTAACTACTTAAAGTTGAGTTTTGATGTGATCTTATCTCAAACGGAAAGTCCTTAGTTTTACTTCGTGGTGTTCTTACTCAAGTAGCATATAGCATGCCTTTTATTAGCTTAGATGTAAGTCGCAGAACATCTTTCTTTTTCAAAGTTTCCTATAACACTTCTCTTGATACTCAATTATATGTTGTTTCCAATTCAATATAAACCTTATGTAAATCTGTTTCTTTGCTCCAATGTCTTTCTTCCAGCCCTCATAAGAGTTATTACTGGTAACAAAGAAGGGAATGTATTTCTTCATATAATTATTTTTATCAAAAGAAAATATTTTGTGAAAATTTAAGAGAAGTAAAAGAAATAGTAGAATAAAAGGTTTTGTGCGATGAAGTATAATTATATATGTAGTTTTCCTCGTCTACTGAGATCTTACGTGTTACATTATGAGTTATCTACAGGATCTATAATTACATTATTTCCTGTAGGATAAATAAAACATTTTAAAATTTAAAAAATAGAGAAAAATTATGAAAAGGTTTTATATAATTAATTAATATCTTTTGTCTTCTTCCTCTTGAGCTGTGATCTTCCTTGTAAAAGTATTTTTATTTCGGAATGAGATCTGTACTTCTATGCTCTGTTTGGTTGAGGGAAAAAATAGTTATGATGGAAATAGAGAAGAAATAAGTTGTGAAAAGAGAAAAAGTAAGAAATTTAAAAAAAAAACATTTAGATGTTTGGTAAGGTAGAAATATGTGAGAAATAGATAAGTGTTTTAAAAGTTGTGTAATTTGATTGATTTGATAGGAAACAAAGAAAGATATAGAGATAAACAGATCAATTAAAATAGAAGAGAAATAGTATATTGTAGGTCACCCTATTTTTTGAATTTTTTATTTTTTATTTTTTATTTTTTTCATATTCTCTCCCAACCAAACAAAGCGTTTCTTTGTGTAAGCTAAACAGAAATTGCATTTTGATGGAGATAAATCTGGACAGAAACTCATAATATGACTGACATAATGTGAAGTAATCCATGATCTTTTTATACTAAATTCTGAGGACAATTAATCATTCTTTTTACAGGTACACGCCCAAAACCACTAATAGAATAAGACTCCTAACCCTGAATTTCCTGGGAGAATGAGGGAAGTACATGCCCAAAACCATTAATAGAATAAGACTCCTGAACCCTACCAAGTGTAAATTAAATATACTCTAAAGATATTATGAGATATTTTCTGGATATTCTAACTGTTGGTTTAAAGCTGTCAACTTTCCATGTTGCTCAAATGAAGGTAAACTCAGAGCCATCAAAATATATTCTAATTTTAAAATTTCGCCTCAGTGTCTGGGTTGAATGTCGTTGAAGGGTAAAAATTTATCTTTTAAGGTCTTCCTTTCTGGGTAAAAATGAATTGCCTCACATAATTCTTACGAATCATATGTGATTGAATATGTTATACAAAGTGAAAGCTTTTTGTTCATTTTTTAATTGATGTCAGCTCAGTATCTTGGTTTGATATTTCCTTATTACAACCAATGTGCTTTCTTATTTAGCAATTATACTTAACTTTTGAGAATCCATTAAATTTATTGCAGCATGGCGGCAGCTTTTGGTTCGGGGGTCATGTTTTCATTGGTAAGTGGCATGGGTGCACCAAATCAAGCAACAAACGCAGTCACTTCTGGACTTTTCTTTGCACTTGTTCAAGGTGGACTTTTCCAGGTAGGCAAGAAGGAAACCGTCTTGTTTATTTGTTGTATCATTTATAAAAAAATCTTAGACTTTATGTTCGAGTGAGGTGTTCTTGCCTGCATCCATGGATTTTTGTGTAATGCAGGTTTATAATTTGGTATCCCATTAATAACATATCTTCAACTATTCATTGATTTTGCAGATAGGACAAAAGTTTTCCCAACCACCGGTTGAAGATATTCACTATGCTAAAACAAGACACATGTTGAACAATCTCGGCCTTCTGAGTTACGAGAAGAATTTTAAGAAAGGCTTGTTAAACGACAATACTTTGCCTTTACTCACAGACAGGTTGGGAAGTTCAATTTCGTGTCAGGTGTTATCTTTTCTTCATATATTTTGTTTAATGGCATTATTGGAGCATGAGTCCTTTGTTTCTCTATGATGTCTTTCAGTGCTCTCAGAGATGTGAGGATTCCCCCTGGACCAAGACTTTTGATTCTTGACCACATTCAGAGGTAGGAGTTATGCTCAATGTTTTGTCATATAATAGTGTATCCTTGCCTTCATACTAAGTTCTGAAGTTTGGTTTCAGGGACCTTGATCCCAAGGAGAAGCGAGGAAGCCGACATTGATTGATATGAATAGTTTGCTGCCTTGAACTTTGAAAGCCATTGAAAATGGATCTTAGGAAGGAAGTTTGTGTTGCAAATGAATTTTGTCTTTTTTGTTTTTTTAGCTTCACGTTCCAATGCTGTTGCAGTATACTTGATAAAATTTGATAACTAATCAGTCGTTTATTTCAGTTCACATGAAACGTAAAAGGGTTCAAACAAAGTGAAAACTAAGGAGCATGAATGTGTTAACTCTGGTAAGAAGACCCTTCTATATCGCAATTCATATATATATATATATTCCTTAAGAAAATAAGTTCTTCCACCCACCCAACAAACGGTACATTTTTTCTTTCTGTAACTAAAGTTAATACGATAACAAAATGGTGGGGGTGCATGTGAAGGAATAGCGCAGGTGGTTGGGCAAAAGATTAAAACTGTGTTATTGGTTATCTATTAATAGGAAAAGAAGCCATGTTTTAAAAACTGTTAGCGTCCTCATCCCAAATTTTGGATAAAGGAAGTAATTTTTTAGGCTTGTTTGATTTTTAAGTCATTTAATAAAAAGATAAAAGTGCAAGGGAAAAAAGAGATATATTGTAAAATGAAAATTAATAATAATAGTTATTTGATTTATAGTTTGAACACTTGTTGTTTTCTTTTTACAAAACGACAAACTTTTATCACATGCTTTTGCTCTACTATAGCTACACATTCAAGAAAATCTCTTTGAATACCCAATAATCATTCACTTGCTTGTTGCTAAATAAACCGCATTTGCTTTTCATTTTTACCCGTGTAAGGAAAAAAGCCATTTTTCCTTCTTATGGTTATTTTGCAACACCAATGTTTTACTAAACTACAAGCAATGAGCCAAAATTGGAACTTAACTCTACAATCTTCAAAGAAATTTTCAACTTCAAAAACCGATCCATTAATTTAATTGGTCACTATTTAATTCTTAACATGTCAATTTAAATCTACATTTGCTTACTAATATCTTCTAATTTATTCATTATAATATAAATTATGACCAAACCTCGAAATATACTTTTCCACATGCCTTGTTAATCTTGTATTAATGAATTCTATGATGCCATCTAGTGTTGTTGGCCTACTCATTTCAAGGTCAAGTTTCACTCACTTTTTACATTAATGAATGAAGGCTGAAATGTCTATTTAGATATTCGAAGTAAATATTACTTTTACATGATTTTATAATTATATCTTCTAATTGTGAGGATTTCATATTTATAAGGGGTTATAAAATGCGTTATGTATATCAATTGTAACAAAAATGTATAAAAGTTTGATAGAATATTTCTATTGATAATGGTTACTGTTGTCCATTCTTGTAATACTTATTAAAGAAGTAAAATAAATATAGTACTTAAGAAGAAGGACAAATATATGCACAATTTTAAATTAGGTGATGTTTAGAGTTTAGGGTTATGATTGTTTTGATTACAACAATAATTATAGGATAAAGTTGAATCAAATCACAGTCAACTCTTAATTTTAGGTTATTAAACTTTTAATTAAAAATAATTATATCTTACTTAACAGTTATAACTATTCACATAAGATATTAAATAAAGGTAATTTATTTTAAAAGCATATATTTTTTTTCTCCCAATTCCAAAATCTGGACAGAGCAAAGTTGTGGACCTAAGTCTGTTTTCCTTTTTAGGATTTTACTCTTGGCACCGAACATTTCTTCGTGCACCCCAAATTTTCAAAATAACCATTTTAGGCAAAATTAATTTTCAGAATACATGTTATGGAAATTTCCGAAACAAGTTTTCCAAAAAAAAAAAATTAAATAAAATTTCTGAAATGAAAATTCTTGAATAGAATTTCGGAACAAAAAAAAATTAGAATACGATTTCTAGAAGATATCAAATGTATTTTGAAAATAATTTTTCAGAATAGGATTTTCGAACCAAACTTTTTAGAACACATAATGTTTTTCAAAATGAATTTTTAATTTTTTTTAAAATACATTAAATATGTTTTGGAAAGAGTTTTCTAAGTCACAGCCAGACACTGATGATAGTGAAAGATGTTTAAGTTTTTTTCTATTATTATGAGGATGCAGTTAATAATTGTGGAGGTGCAAGAAGTAATAGCCTTTGTTTCATTATTTCATTTCGAAAATCATATTTATCATAGTAAACCGAGATGGGTGTTGCTACCTCCACCGTCACACTTTTCTCCCTCCACCTCCCCAATTTTTTTTAATTCCAATTATATCCTTAGATTAAAATTTTTTACTTTTATTATTTTAATTTATTTCAAACCTACTTCTCCTACTTTACTCCCTGCACCCAATCTTTCCATCTCTCATTTCCATTTAACAATTTGTCTTCCATTTTACTCTGCAACCTCATTTGTCTTTTCCGTTTCACTTCTCCTCCTCCGTTTCTTTCTTCTTCATTTTCCTTACATTATTAAAGTACATTAAAAATATATTCAAAAATAATAAATCAAAACATTTAAATTAAATTATTAAAATATTTCCAAAATAAAGAATAAACTAATAAAACAAACCCTAAAATAAAAAACGTAACCTGTTGACATCCGTTGAAGGATGTTACCTCCGTTTAAAGGTTACCTTTTTTATTTTAGGGTTTTATTTGAAGGTTTATTCGAATACGCACCTGGAGGAAGCAACACACGCACTGCACCACGAGAGCAACACTGCACCACGAGAGGGAGACTGCTTGATAATTCTTTCCACCACCACCAACCTTTGCAACTTGTAGTATCTCACAGCGACTAGAATAGTTTATTAGTGGAATAGGTTGTGAATAAGTAAAATTAAAAAATAATAATCCTAAAAAAATTTTTACTTAGGAGCAAAATAGTAAATGGGAAGTGGAGGGAGAAAGGTGTGGTGGTGGAGGGAGCAACACGCAACCGAGATAGATAGAAAGACAGAAAACGTGAAGGAAGATAATTAGTATTTTCTTGCATCTTATTCTATGTTTCAAAAAATGTGTAAGACACATATTTTCAAAATCACAACATTCTTTTTATTTTTTAAAAACTCGAGCTATTATAAATACTTTCAAAAAATCATATTAAAATTACATTTATAACAAAAAATTTCTTCATAATTCTTTTAAATTGGGAAGTTATAATTTCGATTATTTCAAGATCCACTTAAAATAACAAAGAAAAGATATATTTAGCAACCTTTGGCTAGTGTATAACGCTTGTTATTTTTTTCTTTGTAATATATTATTTTCTATGTTTTATTTTTAATCTGTGTAGGACTCGGGTTTATTATTTCTTATTAGAGGAATTGAGGATAAATATAATAATCCATAAGTATTATACTCAACATAGGGTTTAGAACGTCAAATATTTCAAAAGAAGAATATTCATTCATAATAAATACAAAACATAAAACTTAGATCCATCCAAATAATGTATATAACCATAATATATTTAAAACTTGTCACAAATATTATGTGATTCATTTGAAAATGTTTTATATTTGCATGTGATTCTAAATTTAAAATAGGCCCAACATAATGAATATCAAATAAAAACATTTTGAAAAAAATCATATTAAACATGCTATATCATATATTAACACTTACCTATCTCAAGCACATCAGCCTATAAATCTTGATTCCTTAGGTTAGAGTGAGTTTATTGCACAAAAATAATTGTATACTAAAGTTTTGTTGTAGTGGTGTCAACTTTCTCTCAATTTTTAACCACTTAATATTGTATGTCTTATGAAATGAAGATATCTCTTTCCAGTAATATATTATGTATTTAATATATTGAATACAAAATTGAATTAAAATGACATCTCAAATATGTGACTTTAAATAATTAAGTATCAAATATCATAACCAATTCAATTAAAATTATCCTATAAAGTCTCAATATGAAGCAATAATTAAAACATAGAGAATTGGTTGAGTAGAATAAAAAATTTTGAACCAATTTTATTAGAAAATTATCCAATTGATACTCGTTGGACAAATCTCATTCGCTAAGTAAATTTGTCTAATCCATTAAGCTCCTTATAGCCAAGTATGGAGAGTTACTCCCTCCACCACCACACAGTACTCTCTGCTTCTCTTCAAATTTTTTTATTTCTAAAACTATCTTTAAGTTAAAAGTTTACCATTTAAGATTTTTTAATTTATCTGAAAACCCTGATTCTACCTCACTTATTCACCCTGCCACTACACCTCCACTCCCAAGACTCACAGATTCTCTTTTCTCTTTCGACTTTCATTTGAGTTCATCTCATCTCTTCTTCTTTTCCTTTATTTTCGTTTATTCTTCTTCTTTCCAGTTTTCTTTTTTTGGTTTCATTGCTTCCATTGGCGGTGCGGTTAGCGTCTGGGAGAGCGTCGTCCTACTGTTCATCTTTTCACTGCTGTTTGTTTCGTCAATGGAGCCTGCGAAGGCCTCAACGGAATTGAGACATCCGTTTGACCTTGACGTGGTATTCGTTCAAGACTAAACAGATGTCTCAATTCCGTTGTGGCCTTAGGTGTCTCAATTCCGTTGTGGCCTTAGGGTTCTCTCTTTAATATTTAATATTTAATTTTTTGTTTATTATTTAAATTTTTTGCGAAAGCTTCACATTGATGGATGGAAGGCGAATCGAATTGGCGATGATGGGTTGATAGTTGTTGCTAAAGGTTGCCCTAATTTGCTTGAATTAGTGCTAATTAGGACTAACCCTACTAAGGCAAGTTTGTAAATCTTGGCATCTAATTGCCAGAATCTTGAGCGGTTGGCTTTGTGTGGAAGTGATTCGGTCGGTGATCCTGAAATTTCTTGCATTGCTGCTAAGTGTGTGGCTTTGAAGAAACGGTGTATTAAGGGTTGTCCTGTTTCAGATCAAGGGAGGCATTAGCGAATGGGTGTCCCAATTTGGTGAAAGTGTTTATCCATTGATCCATTGACGGCGACACTATGGAGAATGCGAGAGGCTTTGGGTGAACACAAGTAAGGTGCGAATGGAGAAGACGAATATGATTTGCAATGTTCGCGAATTGGATGCGTGGCAAAGGATGAGATTAACGATTGGAGTTTCTTAGATTTGAAAGTGGTGGATTCGTGTGGATGGAGGTTTGAAGAGGTCTCACATTTTGTGTTCTCTAGGTTTTCCTTTGCAGATTTGAATCGTGAGGAAAGGAATGCACAAATCTGGTTCGCGTG